AAAGAATGCTGACTTTATTGATTTGACTACCCGTGAAGGTCCGGGTTAGAATATTGATCTTCAGTAACCCATGCTTGTCGTGATAGGCGACTAACGGGATAGGGTGATCGCTGGATTGGTTGACACATGTCATTGGTTCCCAGTGGCGCAGATCGATGCTCATGCTGTTGATCACTGGAATGTCTTGTCAGACTCGATTATTTACAGACGGCCGCCATACATCTGGAATATTGCTGAGTGCGGCGTAAAACTAAACTCACTTACTCACTATTGATTTAACTGACTGATTTGTAACCAAAATGCATTGCATGAGATGCAGTCAATTCCTCAAAATCCTTTACTGTTAAAAATATGAAGTATTTACAGAGTGCATTCACACAATATACATGCACCGAGCAAAACGTTAGGATTTTATCTTTATAATTCAACACCATGTTGCTCCATAGCAAACAAATATTTTCAAGTATACCAGATGGAATAATTTGATCATTTGTTTTTCTGTTCACCTAAAACCTGGACCCCTTGCTATTTTAGAGAGGTCCTGTGGCTTTCGGCCCATGGCACAAGTGGCAAGTATTTGAAATGTAATATCTGTAAGGTAACAAGTGATATCTGTAAGGTAACAAGTGATATCTGTAAAGTGACAGTTATCTGTAAAGTGACAGCTATCTGTAAAGTGACAGCTATCTGTAAAGTAACAAGTGATATCTGTAGAGTGACAGTTATCTGTAAAGTTACAGTTATCTGTAAAGTAACAAGTGATATCTGTAAAGTGACAGCTATCTGTAAAGTAACAAGTGATATCTGTAAAGTGACAGTTATCTGTAAAGTGACAGTTATCTGTAAAATGACCGTTATCTGTAAAGTGACAGTTTTTCTGTAAAGTGACAGTAATCTTTGAAGTTACAGTTATTTGTAAGGTAACAAATGATATCTGTAAAAGGACAGTTATCTGGAAAGTTACAATTATCTGTAAAGTGACAAGTGATATCTGTAAAGTGACCATTATCTGTAAAGTAGAATCTATCAATTAACACTAATGTCTGGTACATGAAACACTCAGAAACCAAGGCTTCACCGACTCAACACACATCTTATAGTAAATATGGAACAAACTAATTGTTAAAGTGAGTGAGTGATTTGAGTTTTTCACCGCTTTTAGCAATATTACGACGGGGACACCCGAAATGGGCTTCACATATTGTACCCATGTTGGGAATCGAACCCGCTAATTGTTAAGAGCGAATGTTCCCGTAATTGCGGCCCTTGTGATCAAGCAGAGAACGTTTTAACCAAATCATTCAACACTTCTCTCCTCTTAACTTAATTCGACTTAATTCCGACCAACATTTTCGAATTATCAGCAAAATTATCAGGTCTATTTAGTTTTCAATAACTAAATGAAATAGCGAAATGTTCAAACTGTCTTGCAATATCATGATTCTTGGTTTGTCCATACCGGTGCGGGGCGGTGGGGTACGGTAGTCTAGTGGTTAAAGCGTTTGCTCGTCACGCCGAAGACCAGGATTCGATTCCCCACATGGGTACAATGTGTGAAGCCCGTTTCTGCCGCCGTGATATTGCTGGAATAGTGAAAAAGTGGGGTAAAACCCAACGCACTCACTCATTCCATATCCATGCTCATGGAGATGGGAAGTATGTGAACCTTTGCATCACTTCAGGCTTTTCTTCAACTTTAATCAGAAGCATTATCAAAGCAGAGTCGAACCAAAACCACCGACTCGTTCACGGATCAACAGAACCCATAGATTTCAGCTGCCGTTAACCTACAGGATCGTGTATCAGCTGATTTTCAGATTTGCAACAAACTTACACCGCCTTCGGCAATATATCCAGCTATTCGAAGAATAACGACACCGAGAATGGACTCAAGACAAGGAAGTCAGAATCGAACCCATGCATTTGTCATTGCGAGCTGACACTGTGATACCAAACCAGATAATAATAAAAAAAATAATAATAAGTACATTTCTAATTCGCTAAACTTCATTCACAAGGCGAATGCTCATAGCGCTAACAAATATAATCTTATGATTATTATCCCGGATAACCCAAGCTACCTTTAAGGTTAATAGTCACATGCCTTATCCCACCGGGTACCCATTTTCTGCTGGGTGAACAGAGGCTGTTTTGAACAAGCCCATTTGTCTAAGGTGAGGCCATATGTATCACTTATGCTTCGTTGTGGGACAGGACTGAGGAGAGGTGAGGTGAAATTGGGTTTAACGTCGTGCTTGAGAATATTTCGCTCATATGACGACGTGCATGCGTGTGTATGTGTATGTGCGGCTGCTTGTACTAGCCCAGACTTAAGCTGGTTTTATAGTGCTAGCCCACTGAGATACCGTGCCGCAGTGAAGCATGAATACCCCACTCAGACACATTATACTGACTCCGAGCCGACCAATCCGTGTACCAATTAATGCCGAGCTACAGACAGGGACCAACAAATTTGGTATGACGCGGTCGGGGATCGAACCTGCGACCTTCCGCTCTCCGGGCGGACGCTCTTCCGCTCTCCGGGCGGACCACTACACCACGGAGGTGGTTGTGTTTATTTAAACAGTTCAACCCCGTGAAATAGGCGGAATACATTATTCGGACAGGGTTCCTTAAATTATTGTGAAAAGATCTAGAATTCCAACAAATGAATTAAATTTAGGGTTTTCGTAAACTATAAAAGGAAACAACTAACAACATAGTGATCATGTGTAAAGCACATATACCAATATTTTATTGCCACATATGCACAAAGAGTGAAAACTGGATGTTGAGATATAATTACCCAATTCAAAGTTGAAGTTTAGAATTCAAAACCCTTATGTCCCTGTCAGTTAAAGTGTCCAATTGTTTCTTTATAAAGGATTATTATTTGTTTCAAACAATTCTGCTGCTGATGCTGCTGATGCTGCTGCTGCTGCTGATGCTGATGATGATGGTGATGATGATGATGATATGTTAAACACATATTCTACTGTTCACCTTATATTCCCGTATGAATCTTTATAAAGACGGTTTAAGAATTGCAAATGTGATTCTTTTTGCATGAATAGACAATTAAGCTGTCATTTAATTTCAGCTGTAATATCCCTGGAGTTTGAAATGAATATTGTGGAAAAAATATGAAGCGACAGACTATTATATCCCCAGACAAGTGAATTGTAAGAACAATATTTGAGATTAAAGTTGATTAGTTATATATGAATATATTGTTTAGAAACTCGTTTCTGTTTGTAATGACATTATACAAAAGAGAGTGTGGTAGAGCTCCACTGCAGCTTACATATATGACAAGAGCTGTCAAGTACTGGTGTAGGCTGATACAAATGGGCCCTGAGAGACTCCCCCTCCAGTGCTACAGGATGCTAACTGCACTTGATGATATGGGACGCACCACTTATGGTACTAATATTAAAAATATTTTATTCAGATTTGGATTTGGATATGCATGGATCTCCCAAGATGTGGGAGACAAAAACTATTTTCTTATCAATGTTTAAGCAGAGAATATTTGACAATCTACAACAAACCTGGAGTGTAAATGTTAATAACCTATCTGACTCTTATTCATATAAAAGATATATATATCCCTACTGACTGTTGAATACTATCTGAACTCATCACTTCCATCTCGCTTACAAATGATCTTATCACGCTTCAGATGCAGTAACTTTAGAATAGCTGTCAACACTGGAAGACATCAAGCTACACCATATGGAGAAAGACTCTGTCCTCTCTGTTTATCCCCAAAAAGTATTTTATTGAAAATGAATACCATGTACTTCTAATCTGTGAAGCTTATAGTTTTTTCCGTAATACACTTATTGGTAAATACATCAATACTACCTCTCAACATAACTTTATTTCTATAATCGCTTCTCATAATTATGATATTTTGCATAACACTTCAATCTTTTTATTTAAAGCACAACAAATAAGGCAAAGTAATATGTAATACAATCATATCATGCATTTGTACTGTTTTATGCTATGGAATGTATGTAAATATGTATTATGCGCAGGGATATTTTGTAACCCTATATTGTCTGTATTTTGGGCCAAAGGCCTTATACTGAATGTATCTGTCTGTCTGTCTGTCTGTCTGTCTGTCTTATACAAAAGAGTCGGAAAGTACACGTAAAATCTACCAAGCAAGCCCCCAATATCGTCACTCAGATAACACTCAGTTGGACACATGAGACCTGTTATAAACAAATGCACATGTGGGTATTTCAATCTATCACTGTTCGTGGTCCTACCCTTATCAAAAACTTAAAAATTAAGCAACACAATTCACGATTCAATTCCACGATTTTCTAAACAATCGCATAGTGCAATAATTAACCTAAGTACTTGGGATTATTGTTATCAAAGTACCTCAATCGTATTCTGATTGGTTTTCGCACATAACATTCAAAGGAAGGCGTCTTCTTGAAGGTCACTGAATGGGTTAAACCGTCACCACTCGCCCCTTTCCGTAAACTGCTGGCCTCGGAATAACGAGAGTTGATCACGAGAAAGGTCAGCTTCGCATGGTTTACAACGCCAATTTGAAACGCTACGAGGACAAGAGATCGATAAGTGTCACTTCAGATAACATTAACCCTACGATTTTTCCTGCGCAAGGAAGTTCCATACTCTGTGCGATAAAAATATAATTTCAACTCTTGAAATTCGGGGTCTCTAATTTACCGACATTGCGTAACCATTCCCGCCTCACAATATAACTACATGGACTGAAAATGTGACCGTTTATCTCGAATTCCAGATCGAAATATCTTGATATTTGTAACTTGAATTGACTTTGAACGTTCAATATCAAAACCTAATGACGCTACTCACTATATCCAAGAAGTGAATTACCACGATCAAGGCGAGTATGACAAGCTGCCTTTGACTGAATGAACCTCGGACCTAACATAATATTACAACATGTTCGAGAAAGGTGATTGCTCGAGAAAGGTGATAGTCCGAGAAAAACCGAGGAGTAGCTTCGGGGAAGGAAGCTGTTCAGGTCTCGTTATCTCGAACGCCAGGATATCTCGAAGCTACAACCCGGTCCCACATTGTTCGAGACACCAGGATACGACTGAACAAGTATGTTCCTGGCTGTTCTCTCTGGGAGGTGAGGACACGTGTACGAGTGCATAGAAAATGCTTTGGCAATGTTTAATCTACACTCGGTTCGTTTTAGTCGATTTCGACTTGGATCAGTAGGTCCATTTTCGAATGTGTATCGTGCACTTGAAACTAGCATCACTATTAGAAAGAAGTTATGAATACATTGCTTGCGTATGCTTGTCCCTTAATGAAAGTTAACATTTCATTTCTGTTTTCAAGCTACAAATGTCAAATGTTCACTGGCTGAATTGACAAAAGTCTGATGATATATCTTTCTGTCCCCATTTTGTAGCGTTGCACTAGTGTGAATCTCTTTGATGCTTTTCAAAGTACAGTGCAGTACGGCTACAACAACCGGGGAACTGCGTACAAGAAACTACGGTTATATCGAACTAGAATACGTGATCACTTGGGTTCGTTATAACCGTAGCTTGCTGTAACTTCTGGAGACGCACCCTGTTTGCTGTGTATAATTTCAGGAGTCGGTATTTCAGGACACAAAAGGCTACACCACCGCCCCTAGTCTTCCGTTGACAGACCCTGCCTGAGATATACAATTTCACGAGCAGGTAACTCAGATGTGGACAAAAGAGCCTTCATCGTCTCGCCACTTCCATCTTCAGGCACCAAATCAATAGCTTTACATCCTTCTGAATCCTTTATCTCTCTGTCAGCTCCTTTGTCAAGGAGTCGCTTCACAACCCAACTGGCGTCACGGTATGCTGCCATATGAAGAGGCGTCCTTCCTTCAGAATCTTTGTGATTGATATTGGAAGTTCTGTCAATCAAAGTCACCAAATGGTCTTCAAAGAAATACCACAGTCCTGAATCTAATGCCAGATGCAGTGGTGTTCTTCCATCACGTGTGTTGTACAAGTCTGGATCCAAGTTGGCCTTGAACAGGAACGTCACCAGTTCATCATGGGTGGACTTTTCATACCTTAGAAATACCGCATGTAGATATGTGTTGCCATCCTTGTCCCTGTCCCTTATACTCAGCCCCCTTTCTACCAGGAACTCCACCACTTCCAACCCTGCTGTCTGCACTGCTGGATACAGCGCTGTTCTTCCATCCTCATCTCTTGTATCAAGTGGCACCTTCACAGTGTCCACCAGGAACTGCACCTTTTCCATTGTTTCATTGACGGAACAGCAAGCGTAGTGAAGCACTGACAATCCGTCAACATCAACTGTCGGCTTAGCATGCATTTTATGCAGATATTTCAGTATATCCAGATCCCCATACTCTGCTGCCACGTGATACGCTGTGAGGCCGTACTCATCCTTCTGATCAACATTGCATCCTTTGTTGCATAAAAATTTAAGAACATCAAAGTTGTTAAATCCGGCCACTGTGTGTAGGGCTGATCTTCCATCTTCATCCGTTGCATTAATGTCACATTTAGCAGCTACCAGCTTCTGAACCATGTCAAGCCTGTTTGCAGCAAATAACACAGGCTGCGAACCTGGTACACGTTTGTTCACAAGGGCTCCAGCTTCAAGAAGAGCTGTAACACAGGCTAAATTGTCCCAACCCACAGCAGTATGAAGAGGTGTAGAACCTCTACCATCTTCCAGATTGATATCAGCTCCTTTCTGTATCAGCATCTTCACAGTGTCGAGGTTACCGTGTTCGGACGCTTTGGTCAGTGGTGTAAATATGTCAAATATCCTGTTCAGTGTTTGGCTGTGTGATGGAACATTTCCAATGTTCGCACAAAACGTATCAATAAAGTGCATCAACAACTGAATTTTTAGGCAGCTGTCTGTGACTGATTGTGCAGATAGGCATATGCAGTCTGCAATGTTGTCATACGTGCCCTCTGTAACGGTCAGATGTTCCAAGATGATGCGTACACACTCGCCACCTCCGGCCTCGCATGCTACCTGGAGACAGTCCTTTAAGTTGTGGACATCAACATTGTGAGATGTGCATTTCTCTAGCAGCATCTTCATAGCTACTGGACATACGTGTCCCGCACATTTATAAACCAGGCGAGCTACTTCCTCCATCTCTGGGATGTGATTTAACAGCAACTGGAGTATTTCCTCGAGGCTCTGGCGTCTCCTCTGCATCCACTCAACATTGTTGTATTCTGGATTATTTGCCATCTCCTTGAACAAAGCAGAAAGACCACGGGAGCAAAGGTCATGGCTTCCATCTCCAGATGCGTCTATGATTCTCCCGAACCAATTCGACGTTTCCATTCAGAGACGCCAAGAACAGGACATCTTCTCTTTCTTGGAATCGTTCCAAAGCGGTTGATATCAATTCAAGCAATCGAGACGATGTTGCTTCATCAATGCTTTGGGAGGCTGAAAGTGCCTTCACACAAGTTTCATCCGGAATAACCCCCTCTGTCCAGCAGCAAGTTAATGACGTCATTGTGACTTTGGTAGATAGCACAAATCATAAATTCTTTCAAAACAGCATTTGGAATGTTTGAACTTTGCAATAGAATGTATTTGGCCAGCGCGCCTTGCTTCATCCCAACGTGTGAAAGGAGAGATGTATAAGTGAACACAATATGAGGATCGAGCACATTACTAATGTCGGGGTAGTATGTGATGCTTGAAGCACTCACTTCTCTTTTACCAATGTCTTCGCATACGCTTTGCTCCAATTTTGTTTCCAGGTATGGTCGAAAGTCTTCGTCAAGTAACGAGGGGTGATTCAGGATCTCACTTCCGTCTTCTGACAGAAGGATGTTTGTAATTCTATCAGCAAGATTCTTAAAGTATTCTTCTGTCAAGCGAATCACAACACCCTCTTCTTCAGTCTCCTTACTTTGTGTCCTCACCAGCTCAACGAGCATCTGTGCGGGACAAATTTTGATGCACATTTCTGGGTCCTCACCAGCCAGATCAAGGAAAACTGCATCGTATATTGACTGATGCTGGAATTCAAAACCATTTTGTGTGCTCAGGAGATATACACCAGAGAGAGTAGCAGCTTTACTTGCAATCTGGCCATACCCTGGAGGACCTGGAATATCACAGAATGTGGACAAATCTGCTACAACGTCACTGAAGTTTCTATCTCTTCTTGATTTCAAGAGTTTGTGGTCAAGGAACCCTTTTTGAATCATCACCAGTAATAACACAAAGTAGCTCAGTGGCTCACTTTCCTTCAAACAGTCAAGGATTTCTTTGACACAAACTTGGGGGCTGCGGAAGAAGCTGACAGCTCTTGATGCTGGAAGTTTGCTTGATGCAAAAAATGTACAACACTGGGGAAAACCAAGAGATGTCTTCATGTCTGCAATTTGTTTCATGTCTTCCTCTGATAGCCTTACCTTCCTCCCGAAATATTTCTCCATGATTTTCTGTTTCTCTGAAACCCTGAGTGAGAACTCGCCGTCATCCAGAGTGACGCATTTGATCCTTTTAAACAGTTCGTGTGTCTTCATCCTCTTCTCACACTGTGCACTGATCTCTGGCCTCGAGGTCAACACCAGGAAGATGTTGCCAAGCTCTACTACAGCGTTCATGATTTTCAGCACCTTACTCCAATCATCTACCTGGGATTGAAACAGGTTGGAGGATCCAAATATATCGTCAATGAGCACCACATATTGTCCTTTAGACTTCCCCACCGGAACGTCTTTCCACTGTTGGGGAAAGGACAATAACAAAGGTATTCTTCCTGTGTCTTTTTCAATCTGCGATAAAAGACTGAGAGCAACCCTAGATTTCCCTGTACCACTTCTTCCTTTGATGAATACACATCCAGTGTTTTTCAGATGCTTCAAAGCTGTCCTTTCTGCATAGGTTGATACATGTTTGTCAGGATCCTCACGTTTCATCAGCATTTCTGTTGCATCTGGAAATAAAGCAAAGAAGATGTTAAAATGCAATGGCATGCATCTAAGGAAGCTTTCATGATCAAATCGAGAAGATTATCGTTGAAGATTTTTCTTTTGTGATTTGTCGTGGTAAACAGACATTTGTTCTTCAGACATTTAAAATACACAACTGAGCCAAATAAAGTAACACGATCCCCGTTTCATGGTGTGGAAGTCATTGTCCCCATCATCATTTTCGAGTTAAGTTAGTAAATCCAGTGATCAACATCATGAGCATCGATCTACTCAACTGTGATACCATGACATGAGTCAACCAAGTGAACGAGGCTGACTACCCGACTCTGTCAGTGTTGAAGTGCTCAATGTCCGGGGGGTGAGTTTGTGTGTGTTGCGAAAGGCAATGACATTTCTTCCTGTTTGGGAAAACACATACCATATGCACTGTCACGTTGTACTTTCACGTTGATACTGATAGATAGACGTTATATTCTGGGATATTAAACTTCGCCCACATTGCACCATGAAACTGAGACTGAAAGTCCACTGACTAACGTCCTCAGCCGGAAATTAAGTATGCACTCCTTAGCTACTGATAATATATCATCACCTGGTTGTTGTAAAATGTCAAAGCCGTTAAGGTTCTCCCTCAGTAATCTATGATATATCGCAATCTCACAACCACCACCTTAATATCTCCAAATATTATAAGGGGAGCGGCTGAGTTTCAATGTAGAACACAACTGTGCACTTTGAGTTAAAAGCATGAAAGTTGGAACAATACAATATTTATATTTAGTGATTAGTTTGGGTTTTAGGGTCAAATGACCGCCAATGAGTGGAGAGGCTTATTGACTAAATCGTCCACTTTGAGTAAAAAGCATGAAACTTGGGAGACGGATGCTTCATCTCAGGCTATATTGTCACCAAAACTTTTCCGACATGGTCGCCAAACCTTTCATTCCTTTTAGGTATTTCTAAACGTAAGGTCGAGAGTTGTTCATATGTTTAGTATTATAATATCTCCCATATGTTTCTTATATGGCGGTCAAACCCAGGATGGACGCCAGAAATGCTCAAAATTTGAGTTTTTTATCAAGAAGACATAGATTTTTTAAAATAACATTGTCAGATTTCACATATTGTCCTGTACCATAAACTAGATCATGCACCAAACTCCACACATCCAGTCGTTTTAGATATTTCCTTCTATTTCTAAGGATAGTCGAGACAGGATATTCCTTTGCACAGACATTATTATTGATGCAATCCTGAATATTCTTTTCACCAAACTTGTCATACTAGTTATGTAACAGTAGGGATACATATATGAATACCTGGCTAAAGACTGTTGTTACGTTTTGATTGCCAAACTGAAAGTTAATATTAAGTAGAAGAACTGAGTCGTGTACCCCCTGTCTTTGTATACCTATCTGAAATGAATAAAAATATTTTTTTTAAAAAATAAAAAATAAAAAGTCTGTTATGTTTGATGTGAGTAAAATCTGAAATTCAAAAAAAAAAAAAAAAAAAGTAGAAGAAGAACCAACAAACAACAGAATTGATTTTCTGAAAATAACTAAATTCACAAATCAATACAAATTAAGATAAAGGTATCACTATGGAAGTACAAATACAATGGTAATAAAATAAGTAAATAAAATAACAGTGATTAAAGCCATAAAGACAATGAGGTTAATATTGCCCTCTCAGCAACAGTAATTCAGCTTGAAAGAAAGGGCTACACAGAGAGTGGCCCAGAGTATAGAGTGATCACACAAAATGGTGGTCTTCTATAGCTTGAGAAAGCTAGCTCCCCTTACAGCTAAAATACATGGATTATCATGAAACGGCCCTCCCATTATCAGAAATTTGAGGGCCGCTGCAAATGATATTGGACCTCTCAACCTTAACGACGGGCCACTATCAGTTCTGTTGTCAAGTGACGTCATAGTGGGTGCGTGGGCTTACGGTTCATTCGACATTAATTGGCTTTCGACTGGCAGATATTCTGGGTCAAACAAGTCAAAGCAACACGAATTCCCGCTTTAAATAGCGGTAATATTGACTTTCTTGTTGGTGCTAACCTTAACAATTGCACTATTAAGGCTGTTGGTGGACCAAAAACCGAACACTCACATAGTTTGACATGTTGCAGGCTATGGTCTTGTCAAAGGCCAAGGTCGAATATCGTCACTTTCTGTTGTGACGTCACTTGAATTGTTCGATGACGTAATTGCATTCGGGCTGTCAACCCCGTCAGAAGTTGATTTGGGTAAACTTACAGTCAAATTCTTTCATTGTTTCCTTTCTTTTCAACACAAATTCCATATATTTTAGCAATAATAACGGTAATGCTATTTTTGAGGGCATTATCATTTGCAGAAGCCCTCGGTCTTTTTCAACTGTTAATGGAAGACCTCGGGCTTCTGCAAATGATAATGCCCTCAAGAATAGCATTACCCTTATATTATATACCTCTTTCAGGCAGATGAATCTGGACTAAGGCCTATACATCCCTTTCCAGATCATTCTATAACATTCTGTGGGTCAGAATATGACGGAAGCTTCTAGAATTGTCTAAATATATCACAAGTCTATATAAGCACACAACAGCCCCATACTTAATCCACAGATACAATGCATAACAGCTGTAACACTGTTGCACAACATATAACATTGTCTCTTATCTTACCTTCATGTAAAATACTTTAATTTCATTGGTCAGTGACGCTTTAACAGGTTTCCGTGTCACCCCTCCCAGGAGTGTGACAACTGGAAAAAATATTACCCGCTGCCACGGTAACCGGCAAACTCTCCGCCGAGAAGCGGAAGCGCTAACAATCATATGACGTCATAATATGATGCATGCCATGCCCTGAGTTCGAAAACCGTTCGATCAGCTGTTTTTGTGTTCACTTTGTACACAATTATTTTTCTGACTTTCGCTGCTTTATTTAAACTATTTTATAAATTGAGTGGTTTGCACACTCAGCTTAAACATGATTAACCATTTTTATAGCAGTTTTAAGCTTGTCAGAATATGTTTCACTGATTCTAAAAATCCAGTCGAGAGGCACACGCCATTTTGTTTGCATGTCATATTGTCGGTCGCGATCTTTAACATAAAAAAAATGATGTTTTGTACATTTAACATGGCGGTAAGATAAATACTTTGTATGCTTCTCCCTCGGGTAATACGGTCTGATCTACGCCTTTTTGTAGCAGTGTCACCCCTCGCCTACCGGCCCGGGTGACACTGCTACTAAGAGGCGTACATCGGACCGTATTACCCTCGAGAGAAGCATACAACTTATAATAACAAGGTATGTAATGTGGACGCCAGATCCAACATGGCTGACATGAATTAAAACGGTATGACCATGAAAATGGACGCCAAATCAGTACTGCAATAAGGAAAATACTGTGAACGACAATTTTACTTCGTGCAATTACCACTTTGTTTTGGCAATGAAGTTGCAGTGCCTTATTGTCGTATTGTATTTAACGTCCATTTTCAGCTTCAGATACATCAGTTTCAACCTTGACGGTCACTTGAAATATGTTGTACCATAAACCAATGAAATTCTATTTCTTTTCACCGTATTGTTCACGCAAATAACAGCCTAAGCAGGCAGTGTTGAGTAGGTAATATCGCTCGATGCTATGACGATGCTGTCTCTACCTCTGTCATTACGGTCAATGTCGCAAATGGGATCAATGTATGAAGTCAATATCTGGTGAACACACACACACATCCCCCCCCCCCCCTTTCCGTGATAATTATGGAGTATTAATTAGACCATGTAAAAGCCCACTCATACACTCCACCCGTGAAGGTCCGGGTTAGAATATTGATCTTCAATAACCCATGCTTTTCGTAAGAGGAGACTAACGGGATCGGGTGACTTGGTTGACACATGTCATCGGTTCCCAGTTGCGCACATTGATGCCCATGCTGTTGATCACTTGATTGTCTCGATTATTTACAGACCGCCGCCATATAGCGGGACTATTGCGGAGTGCGGCGTAAAACTAAACTCACTCACTCACTAACCCCTCATTCACTCATTAGTTACACTTACCTATGATGTTCTGTAGAGGGTAGTTTGGTGTTTCTGGAATGAATACATATAATCCACTGTACAATGTGTATATAATTTACATTAAATAAACCCTTTCTGAAGTACTTTCAGGTTCTTCAAGTTTTCTACAGTTTGATGGAATATTAATTGGATTTTTGTCACTATCGATGGCTTAACTATTTATGGCAAGGAATATGAGAATATTATGAGAAATGTATCCATAGACAGTTTGGGAATTACCACATTTTGTTTCCTGGAAGGTGACGGTGGAATCCTGGATGTTGTAAACGTTTTGACCGTCAGACAATACAACGGGGGCCTCCACTTGAAGGTTGGTAGCTGGAAAGGAAGGATATCATGGTTATGCTGCTTCAACATGTCTAAACGGTTAGTGTGTCGCAGCTTGTAAGCATGTTGTTACCTTCTCTGAGACACGGTATTGTCATTAGCATGTCGTTAGCATGTCATTTCATGTCGTTAGAGTTAGGAGTTAACAGGTCAGGTGCATGCTGTTATCGTTATTCCTAACCTGTGTTTAACATGTTGTCAACATACTGTCACCCACTCAGTAGCATGTTGTCAGCATGTCAATAGCATGTTGGCATGTCAATAGCATGTTGTCAGCATGTCAATTGTATGTTGCCTTCTCAGTAGCATGTTGTCATTTCATGTAGCATGTTGTCATATCAATAGCATGTTGTCATGTCAATAGCATGTTGCCATGTCAGTAGTATGCTGTCATTTCAGTAGCATGTTGTCAGCATGTCAATAGCTTGTTGTCATTTCAGTAGCATGTCGTAAGCATGTCAAAAGCGTGTTGTCATTTCAGTAGCATGTTGTCATTTCTGAACATGTTCTATATATGAAGAATATTCTACGATGCCCGCCACAGTGACAATAAACACCATCTTTGATCATCTTTTCGGAAAGACGCGACCAAAGGATCCAACCATTGACATGCAGCGCTCAGGACAGACTGAATTTCAGCTAATATATTTTCAGTGTGTCTGGTGGTATATTTGGTTGTCTGGATATTCAGGGTCAGAATATGCTTCTTCGCTATGAGTATATGCCAACATGGGTAGAGATCAGTTTGGCTTGATTCCAGCATAGCTAGAGGTACCGGTATATAGGTGTGGCAAGATGTCAGCGTGGCCGGTGGTCGGAATAGGGAGCGAGTTTAGTTTTACACCGCTGTTAACATATTCCAGCAATATCGCAGCGGAGAACACCAAAAATCGGCTTCACACATTGTACTCATATGGGGAATCGAACCCACGCCTTCGGCGTGACGAGTGACCCCTTTAATCACTAGGCTACCCCACCGCCCCGAGGTAAAAATATCTGGACATCAATATGTCTAGATGCCAATATGTCTATATTACAGGTTGTCTGGATGCCAGCATGTCAAGGGGCGGTGGGGTAGCCTTATGGTTAAAGCGTTGGCTCGTCACGCCGAAGACCCGGGTTCGAATCCCTCATGGGCACAATGTGTGAAGCCCATTTCTTGTGTCCCCCGCCGTGACGTTGCTGGAATATTGCTAAAAGAGGCGTAAAAACCAAACTCAGTCAGTCAGTCAGTCAGCATGTCAATGCGTCTGCATATGTTTATCTCACTAGATGTCACGATGACCGGAAGTCAGCCAGTTCACGTCTGAGCATGCCTGAACACATATTGGCTGACTCGAACATACAAATACTCAAAATACAAGCTAAAATGGCTAACGGCATATTTCAAGAAATATCAACACATATGACCTGAATCTGCCCGCATTTTCTTGACAGTTGAACAACCCGACGAAGTGGCAACCAGCTCCATAGCTCTTGTCTGCTAGGTACACAGTTCAGATGCGCTAGGCTTTGTGTGACACCTGCTCGGTACGAGGTACAGCGCGCAGTTTTGACAAAACATACGGAGCATCTATTTTTGCTATTCTTAGTGAATATCAAGTGAATTCGACAACAGGCGAAACTGAGGATTGGGGGATCACAATAAGTGACTTAGTAATGTGTCATCATAACCTGAGTGTACGTAGGTCGATGTTCATACTATCAATCACATGTTTGCCTCAAAAACATATATTTCCAACACCTGACTGGCATATACCTGAGTGATTAAGAACAACATTTGACGTCATCTGCATGATCATGAGCTGATTTTCAATGGTGGATATATAATTTTCATTACTACATAGTCTACGCACCGGAAATCTGACAGTCGTGGCGCCGATTTTGCTTGCTTGTAGATTTCTCACATTTCCCTTTTCTCTTGTGATAAACCTGTGAGAACTGCATCACTCCGTGGTTCCCTGCCCCATCAAGTTGGCACCCTCATAGCTGGAAATTGTCCAAAACTGCGATAAACCTGCATCATGGTGGCGGTTTAACCTGGTTCAATTCCCTATCTGGGTACAATGTGTGAAGTCATTTTTGCGTCCCCCGTCCGTCGTTATATTGCTGGAATATTGCTGCTAAGACGGGTGTAAAACCTCAAACACACAATCAATCAATCCATCCATCAATGAATCTATCATTCATTCAATCAATCAATCTCATATAGGACAAATGTGTGTTTCGCAGATGCAGTACCTATAAGTGGATAAATGACATGATTCTTTGCTTACCTCCATTACCAGTTACAGCATACCATACTATACCATACCATACCATACCAGCAGCATACCATACCATACCAGCAGCATACCGTACCATACCAGCAGCATACCATACCACTATGGGGCGGATTTCTTTTAACAACTACTTTCGAATTTCCCTGCTACCAAAACGGAACTGAATTCAGATTTTACGGAACTGACTGGAACAAAATGGGGCTCAAAAATAAGACCGTGGTTACGCTCGTTTTGTTAGAATCGCGCCCACTCTAGCCGTGTAATATTGCAGTGGGGTTTTTTTTCAAACAGTATTCAGTACAAGCTGTTGAATTCAAAGTGTCAGTTAGTCAAACAGATAAGAAAGAAACAAGGAAATCGAACCGTACTAACAACACAAGGATCTATTACGTTACAGCGGAAAGACATAAAGTAAACAAACTTAGATAGGCTTCTAGGCAAGGAAAGCTTTTATTTACTATCAGTTGTAAACACACAGCTTTGTATAATGAAACATCATATGTCCTTTGCCACAATCGTCAAGGGGCGGTGGGGTAGCCCAGTGGTTAAAACGTTCGCTCGTCACGCCGAAGACCCGGGTTCAATTCCCAACATGGGTACAATGTGTGAAGCCCATTTCTGATGCCCTCCGCCGTGATATTGCTGAAATATGGCTGAACGCGGCGTAAAACCATACTCATTCACTGAAGACCCATTCTAACCCTGATCGTCACGGGTCTCGTTCTTTATTAAGGACACAAGGTGGTCATGGGCGGGGAAATCGAGGAATTTCGTCAAGTTCCACATGGTGTCTAGAAGGGCCCCCCATTCAATCTGATCTGCTTTGTCAAACCACTCGTTACTTCCGTCAAAAGGTCAGTGTGAGCAAATGCTTTTGTGTGTTTGTTTGTTTGTTTGTTGGGTGTTTTTTGTTTGACGCAGCACACAGCAATATTCCATATATATAACGTTTGTCTGTAAATATTCGAGTCAAGAAAAGCGATCCACATCACATATACAGAATTGGTCTTCAGCAGACTCACTAAGAGTGAGTGAGTGAGTTTAGTTTTACGCCGCACTCAGCAATATTCCAGCTATATGGCGGCGGTCTGGAAATAATCGAGTCAATCAATCCAGTGATCAATAGCATGAGCATCGATCTGCGCAACTGGGAACATATGGCATGTGCCAACCAAGTCAGCGAGCCTGACCACCCGATCCCGTTAGTCGCCTCTTGCGAAAAGCTTGGCCGGTTACTGAAGATCAGTCACTATATGGCTGAAATATTGCCGAGGTGACGTTAAATTCTAACTCACTCACTCACTCACTGAAGATCAATTCTAACCCGGGACTGCCTCCGTGGTGTAGTGGTTAGAGCGTCCGCCCGGAGAGCGGAAGGTCGCGGCTTCGATCCCCGACCGCGTCATACCAAAAGACGTTAAAATATGGTACTTGTTGGTCCCTGCCTGGCGTTCGGCATTAATGGGTACAACAAGGACTGGTCGGCTCGGAGTCAGTATAATGTGTCTGAGTGGGGTATTCATGCTTCACTGCGGCATGGTATCTCAGTGGGCTAGCAGTATAAAACCAGCTTAAGTCTGGGCTAGTACAAGAAGCCGCACATACACATACACGCACATGCACGTCGTCATATGAGCGAAATATTCTCAAGTACGACGTTAAACCCAATTTCACCTCACCTCACCTCACCTCACCTCACCTCACCTCACCTCACCTCTAACCCGGATCTTCACGGGTGGCTCACTAAGAGACGACCAACGGGATCGGGTTGTCGGGTTCGCTGACTTGGTTGACACATGTCACCGTATTCCAGTTGCGTAGATCGATGTTCATGCTGTCAATCACTTGATTGTCTGGTCCAGACAGAATATATGTGCAGGGTGCGCACCTCCCCTTTTGTCCTGAAAGTTTATTAAATGACCACTGAAACTCTCGTGAAAACGGGTAAATATGAAGTGTTAAAATGAATAGGTGGAATATTTCTGTGTACGGCTGTAGGCAACAGACAAACATACAAATCATTATAAACACAAAGTTACAACCAGCCCTCGACCACCTCGGCGCTCTTCTTTTTGATGTGGTACATTGTAAAGAGATCTCTGATTTTGAGGAAGATTAAGTCTTCAAGCACGAGCAGCATCGGATCGGGGACGTTATGAGTTACATGTCCTAAAACTTAAATATCCTCACCTGATTAATGTGGCGAGCAGAGTCGGAATGTAGGAAGCCTTCATAAATTGGTGAACAGGAAATATTTGGAATTAAGGATTATCTTATATGTTTGTGAGAGGGGTACCACTTTTAACAATATATCAGCACTACCACGGCAGGGAAAACAGAAATGGGCTTTACAGTAGCGGGTTCGAACCCGGTTGTCGTCGGCGTGACTAGCGAGGAACGCCATGTGTCCTAACCCACTGACTCAATAAGCAATACGTTCTCTACTTGAGATCCTCGATAGGTCTGCTCGGATGGATGTGTCAGTTGTTAATAAGACTTCAAATCTCAATATGCTTCACCCTTTTTACATTTTCTCAGATTACACCATTTAGAAAGGCATATACAGTGTGAATATATTGGAATGAATCATGTTTAGTAGGGCTGCCCAATATAACCGGTTTACCGGTATTTACCGGTTCAGACATGAAAACGATACGTATTGCGATACCCTGATCGAAAACCGGTATTTTGACATGCATTCCGAAAACTTCGTAACACTCGGAAATCTTCGGATATTTCCGTTTTTTTAATTGTTCTTTTCCCTGTTTCATTAGTGCCAAATGTTAATTAAATTTTTCTTTTGTCATGATTAAAAGTTTTTATAAACGGTTAATCAATCATAGTGATTTTGTTGTGGTTTTTGCTTATAATCAAGCATTAACTCGATTATAAGTAGTTTTTGTTAAAAAAATAATCCTTGCGATATATTGCAATACATATCGCAATATATGTTTCAGCATCGCAATATATCGCAATATGAAAATTCTCTGCAATACCCACCCCTAATGTTTAGTGCCTTAATCAGTGATTATAGGCCATATGTACCATTTAGTTTTCAGTACTTTCTAAGCAGTATTGGTACATGACTGGCTACGTTCTGTCGATATATACATTGTGTGAATGACTTCACACACGCAAAGGTTTATGTCCAATGTTGGAGGGGAAATATTCTTTTCTTTCTGTTTCTGAAACTAGTTTATTTCTAGAAACATCTCCTGCACACGGAACAGAATCTGATAATCGTGACTTTGCATTCATGACCAGCCACCATCGTATATTCACTGGTTGGGTTTTTTCCGGATTGTGGCTTAAATGATCTTCCAACACTCAAGTGCCAAATATTTAGTACGGGTGACCTCCAAAATCGAAACAGGTGTAATTAAACTGTGGTATTTTTATACTGTCATTGATAACACAATATCCAATATATCATACGCATGTGTTCACAGCGACAACAAAGTGGCATGATACTGGCGCAGTTTTAACAAAACGAGCGTGGCTACTTTCGTTGCGTGCTTATCATAACTGCGCAATTGAACAAAAGCCATAATATTATATCTGTTGAAAAATCAGAGGCAAAGTACCAGAGCAGGTTGATTTTAGAACGTAGACAGATACAGGCTCATCACTATGACACACTTTCGAAATGTACTCCAACATTTTCCAAATTGAGCATCTGCTCAAATTATCGTAATATTACTTTGTCAGAAAAAGTAAACAAAAGAAATAAACGTCATTCTTGTTTAGGAGCAGTGAAGTACATATCCTGCATTCACGTTGAAAAAGCTTAAATTATCAGTTCAATGTGAAGGAACATAATGGTCTTTTCTAAGTAAGAAAACATGTAGGAATATTGACTAAATCCTGCAAAAACGGGGTAAAACCATTTCTTTTCTTCTTCTTTTTTTTGTCGTCATCACCATCAGCAGCAGCAGCAGCAGCATCAACAACAACACCAAAAGCCACGTTATCGTAATCATCATCATCGTTATCATAATTAGTCCACCGATATCGCGACAACTGTTAAGATTCGAACTTGGGTCAAACAAACTAGTTTTAGATCTCATGAGTAACCGGCATGCCATGTGGGTACGAAGATACACTCGCGGACAGGCCATGCAGGACACATCCACATGTCCGCTTGCTGGTAATGCATCACGTGAAGCCTGGGACTTTGCCCCGGAATCTACTCGAAGTGCAGTTTCAGATATAGTTGTGTCGCCACAACCTAGGCATGTTCAGATGAACAGCTTGTTTCTAGTTCGTTCCAGGAGTGAGTGAGTGAGACAGACGCCGCTTTTAGCAATATTCCAGCAATAACAAGGGCGGGGACGCGGGGGGAACGAGCCCGGGTCTCCAGCGTGACGAGCGGACACTTTGCCCACTAGGCTACCCCTACTTATTTGTTTTTATTTCTTCCATTACTCACATATTCGTTTTCGCAGCAGATTCCCCAATGTCAGAATCGGAGTTCAACCTGTTGTGATTATCGATAGACGTCTCCATGTATACTTCGATCCGCAGAACAAAAGTTCTAAATTTGTAACCAAAATATTTCCCTCTCAAAACTGTAAAAATAGCTTTCGTAAACAAAACTGTTTCGACAGGGCCTTATCAGTCGTTGCTACGCGGGTTTTGTTAAAATTGCGCCCATGGCCGTCTGTGGCAGACGGGCAGTGAAAACAGAAAGATCGGTATTTCCAGTGAACTGACGACGTTCCCACAGCCAGTCAGATATGTCGGCGGGTACAAAGTCAGGTGTTATGGCGATGGTTGAGGCTGGTACTGTCCCTGTAGGTCAGCTGTCCGCTGTGACCACACGCAGTGCGGATTCAGGTCAGTTGTGGATATATTTGAGTTTCAGTCGAGATCGCTGAGAGGTGGTGGGGCTGGGTCACAGCCGTTCCGAGATCACGGCTGTGGGGCTGGGTTATGGCCGAGTGTACATAACAAGAAGAATGTCTGAAGTTTTTTGGACCAGTATTTTTGCTCTAGACACATTGTAATTATTAGGATCAAGTTACGGTTGTTTGGGAACATTTCCCCGGAAATGAAGGGGCGAGGGGAATACCATTGTCAGCGAAGAGGGGAGGAAGGTAGCGATGATTATAGTATGGAGAGACAGGTGTTCGTGGATGTGGACTGACTGACTGAGTTTGGTTTTACGCCGCTTTTAGCAATATTCCAACATCAAGGCGGGGAACACCAGAAATGGGCTACACACATTGTACCCACGTGGGGATTCGAACCTGGGTCTTCGTCGTGACGAGCCAACGCTTTAACCACTAGGCTACCCCACTGCCCTCGTGGATGTAGAGGGCAGTGTTAGTGGTAGGAGCTGGGGCTAGGACGAGTCCAAATTTTCTATCTGGGTTCCCCATCCCTATTACCCTGCCCTACCCGGTTACCCATTATGTTAATTCCTGACATCAAATTTGCAAGAAATGGCTATATATTCTTCAGCTCCGAGGCTAAAATTTCGAGTTTTTCTATTCTTAACCAGGTATTATATTCAAAAGAAGTGACTGTAATTATGTCTAAATCTTCAGAGACAATACAACCTTTTAATCATGAAAGAATAACATATTACGTTGTTTAATCTATTAGTCACGTGAATATAACGGGTCCGTGTGTTGAGACGGGTACCCGGGTTCAATTCATTACCACACCCGTCCCGGGTATCCGGGTAAGTCGTACCTGCCCTAGCAGAAGCATTATCTGAGGGGAGTCAGGTGGATGGGACTGGTGGGTCAGGTAGGTGGGGTTGTGTGAACGAAGCGAGGGGTGAAAGTCAAAACATTGATTCCACAACAGTCTCGTTTCCTGTTGACTGGGTTCCATCCTATTGCGCAACTTAGTACAATAACAGTCCTGAATTTTGAGACCCATTCATTTAACTGGATACATAAATATTAATCAGGATTATTTGATACTTTCTTAGCACTTGTATATTGCAACGCTACGCTCTTTATAATCCTTGCAAACATGCAGTGCAGCGTGCACTGTCGTATAACGAGCACTGACAAACAGAAGCCTGGAAATCGTGGAAATCTCAAAACGAGGCTCTGCCGCTAGAAAAGTTTGGCGATCTTGTACGGACTTGATATTCTATCAATCACATTGTGCGATACAGAACTACACTGAATAGGTGCACGAAACACATAACAGGTGTAACCAATGGGCCAGATGCATTGTGGATTATTTTACGACCTCATCAAACTGGGGCAGTCTGTGACGTCTTAGTTAATGTCATGCTGCCTACACCTCGCCATAAAATATAGAAATACGAGGTTATTCATTTGTAAATACCACTTTCTTATGAAACAACGAATTGGAGATCAGTGTAACCATAGTTGTTTGTGATGTCTATTTTCACTTTCACACGAGAAAATTCGGATCGGCGGAAAAGTAGGTCATTGTCTGAACAGGTTAATGAGACTCATGTTTCGGTTTGCAGATGGACGGGGCGAGTAGCTTCAGTTTGTAGGAGCGAGGGGAGTCAGTCGGGGCGAGGAGAGTCATATAGACGGGACGAGGGGAGTGAGATAGGATGGACGAGGGGAGTCAGATAGACAGGGCGAGGGGTGTCATTTTGTCGGGGCGAGGGGAGTCAGGTGGTCGGAGCGAAGGGAGTCATTTTGTCGGGGCGAGTAGCTTCAGTTTGTCGGGGCGATTGGAGTCGGGACGGGACGAGGGGCGTCAGATAGACGGGATGAGGGGGGTGAGATAGGATGGACGAGGGGAGTCAGATAGACAGGGCGAGGGGTGTCATATAGACAGGGCGAAGGGAGTCAGATATACGGGGCGAGATGAGTCAGATACACGGGCCGAGGGGCGTCAGATAGACGGGGAGATGGGAGTCAGATAGACGGGGCGAGTTGAGTCAAATTGACGGGGCGAGGGGCGTCCGATAGACGGGACTAGGAGTCAGATAATCGGGGAGCCGGGAGTTAGATAGACGGGGCGAGGGGAGTGAGATAGTCGGGGAGACGGGAGTCAGAGTGAGTGAGTGGTGAGTGAGTTAAAATGTTACGTTGCATCGGCATTATTTCAGCCATATCGCGTCACAATAAGTCCGGAGGGTATAGAGACTACATTTATTTAAATACTTTATTCACAAGATTGAGTATTATAAATACCATTTGTTTGCTTACAACCTTTGATGTTCCAGTTAACAACATACAGCTCCACTCGCCGGCGGTCTTCTCTGATGGCAAATCCATTTACAACATCCAAGACTCGTCTGTCACAGTGCAGCAGACGATCAGTGGTAATGTCAGAGTTCTCTCCCTTTTCACCACGCTTCTCGCACTCATCTCAAGTACTGATCCTTTGAATACTGCATTGAGTGCATTCGCGTTTGTTTTACATGTGTAAACTCGGGATTATGGTCAAGCGTAAATCATTCTGTTCATTGCAGATAGAAATTATAACGTGAAAGCCTAAACCTAATGTTCAATGGTTGATGGATTGCTACTTCGCCATTACGAGTTGCGTCCCGACAGGATGTTGATAATGATCCTCCGTATGCCAGAACAGCATTCGCTGATGCCTGTGGGGGCTTCCCTGATATTGCATAAATGTCCTTGAGAAGGGCGTTAAACCCAGCGTTACACTCACTAACTCTAATGTTGCAATGTGAGGTGAGGTGAGGTGAGGTGAAATTGGGTTTTACGTCGTGCTTGAGAATATTTCGCTCATATGACGACGTGCATGCGTGTGTATGTGTATGTGCGGCTGCTTGTACTAGCCCAGACTTAAACTGGTTTTATAGTGCTAGCCCACTGAGATACCATGCCGAAGTGAAGCATGAATACCCCACTCAGACACATTATACTGACGCCGAGCCGACCAGTCCTTGTTGTACCCATTAATGCCGAGCACCAGGCAGGGACCAACAAGTACCATATTTTAACATATACAGTGACGCAATGCTCCAGTAGATTATTTGATTTAATTATGTTTCAGTTACGCCAAACTACCCACTGCAGAACATCATAGGTAAGTATATGTATATTATAAATCACAACATCATTCATTGGATATTTGAGTGGCTTGGGTTTTACACCGCTGTTAAATTGCTGCATGCCAGTGCTCAGCTACACTTCATAAACAGTCAGTATCATCATGGGGCCGAACCAGGGATCCCAATCAACGCCTAGCTGATACAAGCTGGCCAACGGCTCATCAGAAGCAGCACCATAGACTGTAGGACCTCAAGCTGCTGCACATTCACTGCTGCACATGTGCTTAGAGATAAAAGGTCAGAGTGAACCAAAATACATCCAATTGAAGGTTAGGGATCTTTTCTAAGCCCGATCCATCAGCAAAAAATAACTCGCTGGATGAGATGGTCACAACAAAACTGTTTAGGACGATCTTAGAATATTTTTATTCTATTTCCAGATGCGACAGAAATGCTGATGAAACGTGAGGATCCTGACAAACATGTATCAACCTATGCAGAAAGGACAGCTTTGAAGCATCTGAAAAACACTGGATGTGTGTTCATCAAAGGAAGAAGTGGTACAGGGAAATCTAGGGTTGCTCTCAGTCTTTTGTTGCAGATTGAAAAAGACACAGGAAGAATACCTTTGTTACTGTCCTTTCCCCAACAGTGGAAAGACGTTCCGGTGGGGAAGTCTAAAGGACAATATGTGGTGCTCATTGACGATATATTTGGATCCTCCAACCTGTTTCAATCCCAGGTAGATGATTGGAGTAAGGTGCTGAAAATCATGAACGCTGTAGTAGAGCTTGGCAACATCTTCCTGGTGTTGACCTCGAGGCCAGAGATCAGTGCACAGTGTGAGAAGAGGATGAAGACACACGAACTGTTTAAAAGGATCAAATGCGTCACTCTGGATGACGGCGAGTTCTCACTCAGGGTTTCAGAGAAACAGAAAATCATGGAGATATATTTCGGGAGGAAGGTAAGGCTATCAGAGGAAGACATGAAACAAATTGCAGAGATGAAGACATCTCTTGGTTTTCCCCAGTGTTGTGCATTTTTTGCATCAAACAAACTTCCAGCATCAAGAGCTGTCAGCTTCTTCCGCAGCCCCCAAGTTTGTGTCAAAGAAATCCTTGACTGTTTGAAGGAAAGTGAGCCACTGAGCTACTTTGTGTTATTACTTGTGATGATTCAAAAAGGGTTCCTTGACCACAAACTCTTGAAATCAAGAAGAGATAGAAACTTCAGTGACGTTGTAGCGGATTTGTCCACATTCTGTGATATTCCAGGTCCTCCAGGGTATGGCCAGATCGCAAGTAAAGCTGCTACTCTCTCTGGTGTTTATCTCCTAAGCACACAAAATGGTTTTGAATTCCAGCATCAGTCAATATACGATGCAGTTTTCCTTGATCTGGCTGGGGAGGACCCAGAAATGTGCATCAAAATTTGTCCTGCACAAATGCTCGTTGAGCTGGTGAGGACACAAAGTAAGGAGACTGAAGAAGAGGGTGTTGTGATTTGCTTGACAAAAGAATACTTCGAGATCCTTGCTGACAGAATTACAAACATCCTTCTGTCAAACGATGGAAGTGAGATCCTGAATCACCCCTCGTTACTTGACGAAGACTTTCGACCATACCTGGAGACAAAATTGGAACAAGACGTTTGTGAAGACATTGGAAAAAGAGAAGCGACTGCATCTAGCATCTCTTACTATCCAGACATAAGTAATATGCTCGATCTTCATGTTGTGTTCACGTATACATTTCTCCTTTCACACATGGTGATGAAGCAAGGCTCATTGGCAAAATATGTTCTGTTGAAAACCTCAAATATTCCAGAAGCTGTTTTGAGAGAGGTAATGATTTGCGCCAACTACCAAAGCCAAAATGATATTATTAACATGCTGCTAGACAGAGGGATTGTTTTGGATGAGACGTGTGTGAAGGCTCTTTCAGCCTCCCAAAGCGTTGATGCAGCTACATCAGCCCGATTGCTTGATTTGATTTCATCGTTGGATTTCCAAGATAGAAAGGACATGCTTTTCTTGGCGTCTCTAAATGGCAACGTGAGCCTGATCAGGAAAATCATAGACACGTCGACGGACGGAGTCCAGGAACTTTGCTATCGATGTCTTATGGGGTTGTTCGGTGAAATGAGATTCAACAAGGAGTATAACTATCCAGAATGGATGGAGGAGAGACGAGGGAGCCTTGAGGAGGTATTCCAAGTACTGTTCAGTCCTATCCAGGACAAGAAGAAAGTAGCTCAGTTGACCTCAAGGTGTGCAGGACATGCCTATCCAGTAGCTCTGAAGATAGCTCTTGACAAATACTCTCTGTACGATACGGACATGTATCACTGGAAGGACTGTCTGCAGACAGCGTGTGTTTATGGCGGTAGTGAGTGTGTCCGAGTCATCCTTGAACATATTACCATTACAGAAGGAATCTATGAAGGCATTGCAGATTGTTTCGATTCAGCAGCCGCATCGATTAGAGACAGCTGTCTGAAGACTCAATTATTGCTGAATTTTCTTGATGACTTTGGTGATAGCATAGGGGGTGTTCCATCGCTCCGTGAAACACTGAATAGATCAGCAGGATACGGATATACTCCTCTGACTAAAGCGGCCGAACACGGCAACGTCGACACTGTGAAGATGCTGATACGGAAAGGAGCTGATGTCAACATGGAAGATGATAAGGGCTTAACGCCTCTTCACAGAGCTGCTGGGACGAATGGTTCAGTTGAATGTGTAACAGCTCTTCTTGAAGCTGGAGCCCTTGTAGACAAACGTACACCGGATTCCAGAACCCCGTTAATGGGTGCTGAGAGGCTTGACATAGTTAAGAAGCTGGTAGCTGCTAAATGTGACATTAATGCAACAGATGAAGATGGGAGATCAGCTCTACACACGGTGGCCCTTTTCAGCAGCGTTGATGTTCTTAAATGTTTATGCAACAAAGGATGCAATGTTGATCAGCGAGATGAGCGCGGCGTCACAGCGTATCACCGTGCAGCAGAATCTGGGGAGCTGGACATACTGAAATATCTGCATCAAATGCATGCTAAGCCGACAGTTGATGTTGACGGATGGTCAGTGCTTCACTACGCTTGCTGTTCCGTCAATGAAACAATGGAAAAGGTGCAGTTCCTGGTGGACACTGTGAAGGTGCCAATCGATACAAGAGACGAGGATGGAAGAACGGCGCTGTATCCAGCAGTGCAGAGAGGTGATGCAGAGGTGGTGGAGTTCCTGGTAGAAAGGGGGCTAAGTATAAGGGACAGGGACAAGCATGGCGACACATATCTACATGCGGTATTCATCCGCTACTCCGATCACGATGAGGTAGTGAAGTTCTTATTCAAAGCTAACGTTGATGCAGATTTGTGTAATAGCGAGGGCAACACTCCATTGCATCTGGCATTGGATTCAGGATTGTGGAGCCTCTTCGAGGACCATATGATGACTTTGATTGATAGAACTTCAAAAATGAATCAAAGAAATCACGAAGGGAAGACACCTCTTCATTTGGCGGCTTATTTTGACAATGTAACGTTTCTCAAGCGAATCCTTGACAAGGGAGCCGACAGAGACATAAAGGATTCAGATGGATGTAAAGCTATCGATCTGGTGCCAGAGGACGGAAATGGCAAGGCGATAAAGGCTCTTTTGTCCACATCTGAGTTACCTGCTCGTGAAATTGTATATCTCAGGCAGGGTCTGTCAACGGAAGACTAGGGGCGGTGGGGTAGCCTAGTGGTTAAAGCGTTTGCTTGTCACGCCGAAGACCGGGTCCCCCACATGGGTACAATGTGTGAAGCCCATATATGGTGTCCCCCGCCTACATATTCCTGGAATATTGCTAAAAGCGGCGTAAAACTAATCGCATTCACTCACATTGCAACATTAGAGTTGGTGAGTGAGCTGTGGTGAACGCCCCTCTCAAGCTAAACTCACTCACTCACTTCAGAAGACTAAGTCACTTGTTCGCGGTATTTAAAGCATTATCTATTATCCTCGTATACCAAACAGATTTTGATTCATCTGAAGAACAATTTTGTTTGACATTTTGTTTGTCTGTCACCTCCTGAAAAAATTGAGGGGCGGTGGGGTAGCATTGTGGTTAAAGCGTTCGCTCGTCACGCCAAAGACCCGGGTTCGATTCCCTGCCCGGGTTCAAAGTGAGAAGTCCATTTCTGGTGTCCCCCATCGTGATATTGCTGGAATATTGCTGAAAGCGGCGTAACACCATACTCACTCACCCAAAGTACTCAGGTTTTTATTGACAGCAGGTGACAAACATCAACCCACTTTTAAGACAATGTGAACAATTATTTTTTGTGACATCTTGTTAAGGTAGCTTCTGGATTAAAATATTGTTTTGTGAACACGTCAGTTCTTTTGATATTTTCACCTACTTTGCAGTATAATTAGCGCCTTCGTTATATAACTGTACTTGGGCCCGAGGCCATAATATCGAAATAAAATCAATCACTGTTTAAATGTATCGAGTAGTAAGAGTTTCGATTTGGTTTGCTCATGATATCGACCACTCGATTTGAGTTTATGCATACCCAAGGGATATAGCTGGAATGTTGCGACAAGTAAGTCTTTCCATTGTACATCCATGGTACGACTCCGCATGTGTTGATGAATCAATGCCAATTAGTGATGAAAACAAGCTTGAGCGTATTCTGCCCCGATCACAAACACATGCAAAGGCAGAGACAATCTCGAAAACACAATTATCCCTGTCAATCCACGTATATAGGGACGTGCATCGAACTTCATTAAATGGCGAAAATATCAGCCATGAAATATTTTGAAAGCTACGAATGTTGTAAAACTGATCAAACATCTTTCGAGCAAGTGTCATATGACGCTTTGGAAATCTCCGAAGAAGGAGCATTCTTGATTTTACCTCAGATGTACCCGTGAAGATCCGGATTAGAATTAAATCTTTGAAGGGCATTTAGAAGTGGAATACATAGGACCAGGTAGTTTTGGGTCTTGACGCTCTTGTTGATGGTCCTATCGTACTTATTGATGGATATTATGATGGGTTAGATATGTCAGAATTGGTCTTCAGTAACCCGTCCTTGTCGTAAAAAGCGACTAACGGGATCGGGTGGTCAGCCTCGCTGACTCGGTTGACACATGTCATCGTATCCCAATTGCGTAGATTGATGCTCAAGATGTTGATCAGTGGATTGTCTGGTCCAGTCTTGATTATCTACAGACCGCCGCCATATAGCTGAAATATTGCTGAGTGCGGCGTAAAACAACAAACAAACAAACAGACGTGGACACCTTAGGCTAGAGTGACGGGGATATTACTCGACAGTTGGCTGCAGTCAAACACTGTTGTGTCGTGCGTAGATCAATGCTCATTATATCAATCACTGGATGCTCTGTTACATTTTGTTTATATAGTTGGACCATTTCGAGTGCGGCGTAAAACAACAAGCAACATGTCTTCGTGTTAACGTCATCTAACGTTGATCAGCCAAGGGAATAACGTCACAGTGACGTTTTATGTAATGGTCTGAAATCCCGCAGTTGCAGCAGTTGCACGTCCTCTTTTATTATGAGTTCAGGAAGGTAAATAGGTGGAGCGGAAAATGGATGTTTGACAGTTACTGAACATCCGATCGTCAAAGACTTCCTGGTCAAATTCTCGTATTTGTAACAGAAGCGGACATAAAATATGCATCGTAGCCACAGAGCTGTTTTCTCCAATACTGTAGGAGCATGATACCGACCCTCCGTTTTGTTAGTTTGTTTTTGAACTCCGTGTACTGATATATTCAAGAAAAATAAAGGACCTGTGTATAATCGAGTCAAGTCCGACAAAATAGTGATTAATATTAAGAGCAACCGTCCAGATTGTTGAGTCGCAATCAACCAAGCCTGTCCAACCAATTCACAGTCTGACCACCCGATCCAAACTCTCTAAACCACCCGACCCACCAAGCCTGTCCAACTAATCCACATAGTCTGAACAACCAATTCAAACTCTCTAAACCACCCGACCCACCAAGCCTGTCCAACCAATTCACCTAGTCTGACCACCCGATCAAAACTCTCTAAACCACCCGACCCACCAAGCCTGTCCAACCAATTCACATAGTCTGACCATCCGATCCAAACTCTCTAAACCACCCGAACCACCAAGCCTGTCCAACCTATCCACATAGCCTGACCACCCGATCCAAACTCTCTAAACCACCCGACCCACCAAGCCTGTCTAACCAATCCACATAGTCTGACCACCCGATCCACCAAGACTAACTACTCGATCAATCCAGTTTTTAATATAAACCGCTTGATAAAACACGCCAATCTCATCCTCAACCATCATCTGAAATGGGGTGTACTGTGGAATTTCACTGTCACGTCCGCGGTGGGCTGGCAAAGTGGAAAAAGCGTTCGCTCGTCACCCGAAGACCCGGGTTCGATTCCCCACATGGGTACAATGTGTGAAGTGCATTTCTGGTGCTCCGCCGTGATGTTGCTGGAATATTGCTAAAAAAACAAAAAAGTTGTTTAATAGGTATTGTTGTAATTATAGCCTTAATCATAAGTAAATGCCGCCTTGACGACTGCTTACAGTCAAGCGTGTTTCATGTTTGTTTGTGAAATATAATTTTCGAATGTATGCAGTTTGTATATAATCTTGCTGACATTTGGATATTTTATCAGTGAATCATGTGTGAGACTGGGACTAAAAATTTAGTACTTGTGTAAAATTTATTTATCTTCGTTTTCATCAGTAAACACTGTACTGAACAATGGGAGAGTTCTATGGATATACAACTTCTTTATTATCAATGTGAGCGACATTTCGGTGTATTCCCATGTTGTCCTCATTTTAGGTTTTACTCATTCCTTCCGAAGTGTGACCACTTCCGGGGTCTCGTCCTTGAATGAGGTCCACAGATCTCATCCCTGTATAGCAGACCTGCCAGATTGCCAGTGACATTGACAAGATGTCTCCGACCATGTGATGTGATGTCTCCCCATATCTTAACGCTATGCCACCAAACTGTCGACGTTAAACAACGCGCGCGTCAGCATTCCGTTCACCTCACCGTCTGTACACCCTTGCCCTGCTATCTGAGATGTCCGAATGAAATCTCCACTCGTCAGTGAACAAAGCACCATCCCAATCTTGTCTCCTGTACCGTAGATGCCTGTCGGTGACGTTTGAGCAAATTTGACGTATTGCAGGCCGTCAGGGCCGGATATTGTGCTCCCTCAGTCAGTAGTGAATGAGTATGATTTTACGCCGCTTTTAGCAATATTCCAGCAACATCACGGCGGGGGACACCAGAAATGGGCTTCACGCAATGTACCCATGTGGGGAATCGAACCCGGGTCTTCAGCGTGACGAGCCAACGCTTTAACCGCTAGGCTACCCCACCGCCCCTTAGTCAGTACCGTAGTCATGGAACTGATTGCACGTTAGCCAGGAATGGTCCGAGCAGTCAAACTTGCAGTCTGGAATCGATTCCTTAGATGGGTCAGCCGAATGTGGTTGTCTTGCTGATGTAGTGACGAGCGGGTGGCTGGTCCGAGCCAAATCTGTCGTGTCTCTGAGGTAAATCTCAGAGATAAGATCGTATTTCGATGGACACCAAAATGTCTGGCGACTTTATTTTGGGCCATTCCAGTCTCCAGCATAGCTACGGCGTGGAAACGCTGATTTTATGTAAGCCGTGGCATGACGTGCACGCAGTTTAGGTTGAAATTAGCGAGTTTTCCACGACATTCAGAGCCTGGAGAATAATCAACCGTTCTTATTTTTTTCATTATCAGGTATGTGAACTTCATGTGTCAAAAGGCATACAAAAATGAGTAAGTTCATTGTACACAAAGTGCACGTGCCACATGACATAAAATTTCTTCAAAGTTCTTTTGCTATATGTTTATTTTGGGCTTTTTTCAAATATCTTTTATTTTATGCATTTTTATGTTATGTACAGTTACTTTTTACAGTGAGTATATTACACTTTCTATGCAAAGAATGCTGACTTTATTGATTTGACTACCCGTGAAGGTCCGGGTTAGAATATTGATCTTCAGTAACCCATGCTTGTCGTGATAGGCGACTAACGGGATAGGGTGATCGCTGGATTGGTTGACACATGTCATTGGTTCCCAGTGGCGCAGATCGATGCTCATGCTGTTGATCACTGGAATGTCTTGTCCAGACTCGATTATTTACAGACGGCCGCCATACATCTGGAATATTGCTGAGTGCGGCGTAAAACTAAACTCACTTACTCACTATTGATTTAACTGACTGATTTGTAACCAAATATGCATTGCATGAGATGCAGTCAATTTCTCAAAATCCTTTACTGTTAAAAATATGAAGTATTTACAGAGTGCATTCACACTCAATATACATGCACCGAGCAAAACGTTAGGATTTTATCTTTATAATTCAACACCATGTTGCTCCATAGCAAACAAATATTTTCAAGTATACCAGATGGAATAATTTGATAATTTGTTTTTCTGTTCACCTAAAACCTGGACCCCTTGCTATTTTAGAGAGGTCCTGTGGCTTTCGGCCCATGGCACAAGTGGCAAGTATTTGAAATGTAATATCTGTAAGGTAACAAGTGATATCTGTAAGGTAACAAGTGATATCTGTAAAGTGACAGTTATCTGTAAAGTGACAGCTATCTGTAAAGTGACAGCTATCTGTAAAGTAACAAGTGATATCTGTAGAGTGACAGTTATCTGTAAAGTTACAGTTATCTGTAAAGTAACAAGTGATATCTGTAAAGTGACAGTTATCTGTAAAGTTACAGTTATCTGTAAAGTAACAAGTGATATCTGTAAAGTGACAGTTATCTGTAAATTGACAGTTATCTGTAAAGTTACAGTTATCTGTAAAGTAACAAGTGATATCTGTAAAGTGACAGTTATCTCTAAAGTTACAGTTATCTGTAAAGTAACAAGTGATATCTGTAAAGTGACAGTTATCTGTAAAGTTACAGTTATCTGTAAAGTAACAAGTGATATCTGTAAAGTGACAGTTATCTGTAAAGTAACAAGTGATATCTGTAAAGTGACAGTTATCTGTAAAGTGACAGTTATCTGTAAAGTTACAGTTATCTGTAAAGTAACAAGTGATATCTGTAAAGTGACAGTTATCTGTAAAGTTACAGTTATCTGTAAAGTAACAAGTGATATCTGTAAAGTGACAGTTATCTGTAAAGTTACAGTTATCTGTAAAGTAACAAGTGATATCTGTAAAGTGACAGTTATCTGTAAAGTAACAAGTGATATCTGTAAAGTGACAGTTATCTGTAAAGTAACAAGTGATATCTGTAAAGTGACAGTTATCTGTAAAGTTACAGTTATCTGTAAAATGACCGTTATCTGTAAAGTGTCAGTTTTTCTGTAAAGTGACAGTAATCTTTGAAGTTACAGTTATCTGTAAGGTAACAAATGATATCTGTAAAAGGACAGTTATCTGGAAAGTTACAGTTA